TATATATAGTAAGTCGTATGGAGCCATCTCATGTATATATATATATATAGTAAGTCGTATGGAACCATCTCATGTATATATATATATAGTAAGTCGTATGGAGCCATCTCATGTATATATATATATAGTAAGTCGTATGGAGCCATCTCATGTATATATATATATATAGTAAGTCGTATGGAGACATCTCATGTATATATATATATAGTAAGTCATATGGAGCCATCTCATGTATATATATATATAGTAAGTCTTATGGAGACATCTCATGTATATATATATATATATAGTAAGTCGTATGGAGACATCTCAGTTTTAAGCGTGGTCGAGCTTCAATGCTGTGCGGTGCAGTAAACAGGTTGGAGGAAAACACTACCGACGTGCTGTCCCTAAAAAATGCACTTTGAAATTCAAAAATTTGAAAAATGCTGAATTCTTAGATTTCATTATTTTGAGGAGCGCCTGATTTCACCTGGATGTCTCACATAACATGTGTAATCAATTGGCCCGTGCAGACATATACACTGTTTGGAAGCGTATGTTTTGTATGGTATTTGTATTCAGTACGGATTTTTCTACGTTCTATTTCAGGATCTAGGCCTTTTTGAAGATTCTGGTCGCACCAACATCATCGCGTATGCCTTGAACAGCCTGACTGTGTAAGTTGTGGTCTTATGTGCTGGTACATTGTTTCTGTACTGTTTTTATGTGATGGTAAATTGTTTCTGTACTGTTTTTATGTGATGGTAAATTGTTTCTGTAGTGTTTTTATGTGATGGTAAATTGTTTCTGTAGCGTTATTATGTGGTGGTAAATTGTTTCTGTAGTGTTATTATGTGGTGGTAAATTGTTTCTGTAGCGTTTTTATGTGATGGTAAATTGTTTCTGTTCCAGCAAGCCCAGAGTCTCTGTACAATTGTTCCAGCAAGCCCAGAGTCTCTGTACAATTGTTCCAGCAAGCCCAGAGTCTCTGTACAATTGTTCCAGCAAGCCCAGAATCTCTGTACAATTGTTCCAGCAAGCCCAGAATCTCTGTACAATTGTTCCAGCAAGCCCAGAATCTCTGTACAATTGTTCCAGCAAGCCCAGAGTCTCTGTACAATTGTTCCAGCAAGCCCAGAATCTCTGTACAATTGTTCCAGCAAGCCCAGAATCTCTGTACAATTGTTCCAGCAAGCCCAGAATCTCTGTACAATTGTTCCAGCAAGCCCAGAGTCTCTGTACAATTGTTCCAGCAAGCCCAGAGTCTCTGTACAATTGTTCCAGCAAGCCCAGAATCTCTGTACAATTGTTCCAGCAAGCCCAGAGTCTCTGTACAATTGTTCCAGCAAGCCCAGAGTCTCTGTACAATTGTTCCAGCAAGCCCAGAGTCTCTGTACAATTGTTCCAGCAAGCTTAGAGTCTCTGTACAATTGTTCCAGCAAGCCCAGAATCTCTGTACAATTGTTCCAGCAAGCCCAGAGTCTCTGTACAATTGTTCCAGCAAGCCCAGTATCTCTGTACAATTGTCTATTCTGAGTTCTGAACACTTGCACAAATAGCACCATTTTTACACGAGGCATCTTTTAAGACACTGATGCTATTCATTTGCATTATCTTTATCTCGTATAGACTATTGCAACTCACTCCTTATAGACACACCAACAGAACGAATGAAGAAATGGCAAAGTCTCCATAATCTCACTGAGAGAGATGTTCTCCCAAGGTCTATCGGAGACCACACAACCCCTTCTCTCACTCGACCACATTTGCTCATTGTCAGAGAGATGTTCTCCCAAGGTCTATCGCAGACCACACAACCCCTTCTCTCACTCGACCACATTTGCTCATTGTCAGAGAGATGTTCTCCCAAGGTCTATCGCAGACCACACAACCCCTTCTCTCACTTGGCCACATTTGCTCATTGTCTCCCAAGGTCTATCGGAGACCACACAACCTCTTCTCTCACTCGGCCACATTTGCTCATTGTCAAAGCCTGTAGTTAGTACAAGGCTGCAGTAATGAGCTGTGAGTGTTGAAACAATATCTTTCTAATTTTCTACAGGGGTATATTGCGTCTCAGAATTTTTAGTCCTTTCATATAAAAGACACCTTAAGTTTGGGCCTTGTAAAATTAGACAAATTAGCGGTGGGGATTTTTTCAACAGTTGCTCCCTCATCATGGAATTGCCTCTCCTAGCAGGGAAGAGGAAGAGAGGGGCCTCTTTTGACCACAGTTAAGAGGAAAACAGGGGCCTCTTTTGACCACAGTTAAGAGGAAGAGAGGGGCCTCCTTTGACCACAGTTAAGAGGAAGAGAAAGGCCTCCTTTGACCTCTTTTTCGGGATGGCATCAAAGAAATGAAACTGCCTCTCATTTGAAGCCAAACTACTTTTTGATTGAGAAAGTTAATTCCACATTACTTTCTCGGTGCCTGTAATTCTTCTTCTTTCTTTTTCTTTTTTCTTCCGCTTGTACCGGTGGGGGGGAGGGGGGGATGTCGAGGGGAGACACAGGCGTCTGTCTGCAGCAAAGCGAGTGGCCTGTAGGAGGGACATCCTGTGAGCTCTGAGGGTGTCTGCCACAGATTCACTGCAGCGTCGCCTTTGTCTTCCTCTGGCTCTCCAACCAGAATATTTGATGTTGTATGCCCTCACGGCTGGATGGTTTGATGGCATCTATGTGAGGTGTCCGAACCTCTTGATCTTTTGTCTCTCAATGTGTGGTAGGACTGGTGTTGCTCCTACCGTGTCTCTTTTGACTTCACTTATTTATTTTGTCTCGTCTTGTCTTGTTAACCGTTCTTCTTAAACATTTCATCTCGCATGTGACCAGCTTCCTCTCTAGGGCTTTTGTTAGGGACCATGTCTGGCATTGATATGTGAGTGTTGG